AAAAGGCTTCCTCCTGGACCCACATTTTCCACATTCATTTTATAATCTTCATATATCTGCAATTTTCTCATCCAAATTTAAATATAATGTGATTTTGTTGGTCTGTTCTATACACATAACTTCTAGTTTAGTGCATGTCTGTCCTGGGAGAGGGATCCTTCATCTTAAAGGTCCAGTGTGTAACATTGAGGAGGTAGAATATTGGTAGACTATAATATTCATAGGAATATAGGAATCGTTATGTTTTTGTTAACTTAGAATGAGTCGTTTATATCTACAGACGCTGCAGGTTGCCTTCCATAGAGTCCACCAAGCTGAACCACCATGTTTCTACAGTAGGAAACTTGGCGGTTTGGGGGGTCTTTTTTTGTGCGTTTTGCGGCCACTACAGTTTCTCCATCGCGCTCAGAATGGGAGGGTGAAGCAAGGGAGTTGCAATCTGCAACTACACTCCTAGATGCCACTAAATCCTACACAGTTGACCTTTTTTTTAAATGGGTTTTTGGGGAGTTTTTCCACCCAAATCAAGGGTCTAAGGACAGATGGTGTTGAACATTTGTACAGATTGTAAATCACTTTAGGCAAATTGTGATTGGGGGCTTTATAAATACAATTTTACTTACTCAACTACTGCATTTGTCCACAGGGGCCACCAGAATAAACACACAATGTAGCTTTTTTAAAGGTTCATCTCCCATTGTTTTAATCTATGTCCTGTAGTTAATTGTAGTTAAGACATGAGTCACTGGATCATGGTAAATATTGTTTTTTTTGTTTTTCTCAGTTTTTGTTACCGAAGATCTCCAGTGCAGTAACAGTAATAACAGTTGTGTTTGTCTGTGGTTAGTTGGCTACATTTGGATAATATACTACAGGCACTCGTGCATTTTCAGATCAGAATGTTAATTTCATAAAGAGACAATATCCTTTTAGAGCAACAATTAAGTTAAAAGACAGGAAAGAACACAGACAATACCCAGCTCTGTGAACAGAAATACAAATCAATAATGTCCAGTCATGACCTCACTTGCAGTGAAAACTTTGAGTTACTGTAAATTGACGCAGACAGAGGTGTTTTCCTGTGGACACCCACATAAAAAAAAAAAAAAAAAACAACTGTCAAATTCTGGAGGAAAATGGCAGACGACAAAATTACAAGGCTCAGGTTTAGTCTGCAAGTTGTGTTTTCTGGAGGTGTACAGTCAGTACAAGACTGAAGGAGGGGCAGGATAATGACTCCACATTTTATGGGTTTCCTGGTGCAGCCACGACCATCGACGAGCCGCTGACCGTAAACCTTTCAACTCAGTTTACACAAACCAGACCCACTCTTCTTCTTCTCTGTCTCTTATTTGCCTCCCAGGAACCCTTGGAAATCTTTTTTATATAGACTCTTAATGTTAAGTTATTTCTTAATATCTCGTCAGAAACACATACAGTATTTTGTATTCTGACTATTCAACCACTAGAGGTTGGTTTCACTTAAACATGCTGTTGCTAGTAGCAACCACTACAGTTCTATCCTCCTGGGAATCCAATTACTTTCCTACCTTTTTTTTAGGGATAGAAGGGAGGCAAACAACATGTCCGCTGTAGTGGACCACAGGATCAGGTCATTGGTACAAAATAAGTCTCGGACAGGTTGATGCAGGTCTTGACTCACTGTACTTTATCCCTTCTATAACACAACAACTTACAAAAAATTTGACTATTTAACAGAAAATGTTTATTTAAAAATTATTTTATCCACCCATAGCAACTGCCTGCTCTTCAGAAATAACAGACCACAGAAATCATAGATTGACTAATGAGAATCAAGTATTCAACAAAACAGTCTCATACGTTCTCCTGCCATACTCATAAGAACATTTCATGACACCAGTTGCGAAATCCAATATTGGATACCAATGTGTCTGCATTGTGGGTGTTACATTACATGGAATAACACATTTACTGTAAAAATAGAATTTGTAGTAATTAAAGTACCATGAATATTAACCGTGGCTAATCACTGGAACTGAATAGATCACATGTGCTACTCCTGATTTACAGAGGGACAATGTATTTCCTGCTTGTCCCTTTCCCTCTCTGTCTCTGTGTCTGTGTCTGTATCTGTCGGCTCCTAAACAAATTCTGTGACACTAATGGTAGTCACTACATAAAATGTGCCGCATCTGTGAAAGGTTAGTGTGGTGGAGTGTTTCCTGTAGAGGAATGTTAAAAGGATGCTCTAAAGGGAGAGAGAAATCAAGGGCCTCCATCTTTACCTCTGTGTTTGTGGACTCCTGCAGGGAAAAAGCCAGTAAAAAGAAACTTATCAAAGAGAAGATGGCAAGAGACGAACTCCATGCGAGTGAAGGAAGAAGTGAATGATGGCATGTGTCTCGTGTGTGCGTGTGTGACAGATAGTTGGAGTGAAGATCTTTCTCTGATTCAGTGTGCCTCCTGCATCTTTTTCCTCTTCTTCACCGTCTTCTTCAATCACAGGTTCACAATCATCCTCATCTCTGTCATCATCTGACAGGTCCAAATCTGAATCTCCCTTAATAATCCTGTAAAGAATCCTCTGTGTTTCAGTTCTGTCTCTTACAACAATGTGGAGTCATTAAGTACATAAAGATGGTCCTGGTATCCAATTATTTTGTTCTTTTTATGAACGTCAACTGTAGTGAACTGCTCTCAGAACTAAATATGTAATTCCTGACATGTTAATAAACAAGAACATATGTGATTATCATAGTAAAAAACAACAACAGATAAATAATATTGGACTTCTCCTCTTCCATAAAATCCGCTTGCTCCTATGTTGTCCATATTGAAAAGAAAGAAAGAGGAAGTTCCCATCATCTTAGCCTATCAATTGATCTATCACTAGAAAGCCCAGGATGCCCTCTTGAGTTACTCTATATATCCCTGTTGTAATGTAAAAAGAGTATAAGGTTATTCATGTGATCCAAGTCAGTGGGCTGGGTCCCAGGATAGCAGTTAAACTGACACTGTTACGCCATTTTGTCAAATTGGTGACCCAACAAACATTGATAGGCATCTTTTAATCTACTTCCTAAAGCAGTTTTTCTGTTTGTCGTCATATCATTAATTCTTCTTCAAAAAGGGCTTTTAGAAACGACAAACAAGGGATTAAGTAACTTACATTCTAGCAAACACACATTCCTAGGAAAATGTAGTTACAGTAACAATACCACAAACTACAGCCACATCAGTTAATTTTTAGCACTCCTTTACGTTGTATCATTTTGAAGAGTTGATATAAATCTATGACCCTCTTAACTGCAATAAACCTTATTTTTACAGGTAATTATTCTTTGGCACTATATCTTAAAAAGTCTCAAGAGTATTTTTTACATAGCTGAAAAGCTGATTGTTTTTCTTATCCAGGACCTGGGAACTTTTTTCTAACTTTTTATCTTAAGTTGTTTTTAGAAGGTCATTTGCTGTCAGACTTGACATTTTTAAATGTCTATATCTCAACCAACTTAAAGATTGGGTTGGAATTTCGGGAACTGCACAACATCCATCTCCGATAATGGAACAGGAGACATAACCTCTAAAACCTTGTTATTCTATCTCCTCTTACTTGTTTTCATGTTTCTTTTTATAGTTTTTCCAGTCTAGATACTGCTTTAACGTCTTCCAAACAGCTTTTAAAGCTTTAACATCTTCAGAAGTTGCTTAAATTAAACCTAATCTAGAGACATATGAAGGCTGGCATTTACATTACTGATTAAAGTAAAACAAAACGAGAATAACCAATCAAATCTCCAAACCTTTCACCATCTCTTTCCATAAGTGTTTTTTGTTTCCCAGTTACATCTGTCTCTTGAAGGAGCCACCAACAATGACAATGGCGGAGAAGTGGCTCAAGTAAGGACTTTTCTGCAACTGTCTGAGCACTAAAAGAGCTTCACCCTGGACGTCTGAATGGCTGATGCTGTTAGTGTGTCTGAGAGCTCTCGGATCAATAAAGTCAGGCCTCTTCTCTCTGTGATACCTGGTCATGCTGTGTATTTGGAGCTGAAGAGAACCAGCATGTCAAAAGATGAAGTCAGAGGAGGGTAAGACGAGAGCAGAGGGGCAGAGAGAAAACCTTTTAAAGGTCCAGTGTGTTACATTTAGGAGGATCTATTGGCAGAAATGAATGTAATATTCATAGGTATGTTTTCATAATGAACAGACCAAGTTTCGTAACCAACATAGTTTCTCTTTCACCCTTGGAAGGCTGCACTGTATTCAAATGATTGCAATCTGCAACTATACCACTAGATGCCACTAAATCTTTAAAAAAAACAAGCTGTAGACCCACTTTTGAGAAAGTAGGTGTTTGTTTTTGCTGACAACCCGAAATCAAGTTGTTTCAGACAAGTTGATTTTAATTAGAATGGATCCACTTTAAATAAAGGAGAAGAAAGTTAACATACATCCTGTAACATAACTTTTACATATACGATTAAATATTGTTGTTTTACCATTTTGATCTTTGGAAAGTTAGACTAGAGTCTAGATATTTAATAAGGTGCTGCTCCTCCCAAAATATATCTCCTTGAATAGAAGACTTACCTTAGGGTGAAAGGTGGCAATTTTGCAATAATTCCTAACATGAACATTTTTTTGTTTTGTCCTGGTCTAAACTTCTGCAGTTCTATGTCTCAAATGTACAACCATATACTATTGAAGTGGTCTGAGAAGTTTTTTTGGATGCTTTGAGGCTTAGTGGTTTACCATTATTTATGCAGTTTGGTTCATACAACAATTCAGGATATCTGGGTCTACAAGCAATTGAGACCAGAAACTCTTCCACACACTCTTTCAAGTAAGAAGTTTTCAATTTCTAGCAGATCAACCAGTGGGGTCGCCCCCTGATGGTCATTAGAGAGGATGCAGGTTTAAGGGACTTCATTGGCTTTTCAGACCCAGAGGCTATAGCCACTTTTTCTGTGTAGTTAAGTTGAATGTCTGGATTCATTAAATTAAAGCAACAAAAACAGCTTTCTAGAGCTTTTTATTAGAACATTCAAAATAAAAAAAAATCTTTACATAATCCATCACTGATCACAAGCAACAAACAAGTAAAAAATGTGAGATGCATAGATACAGAAGCAAAGCATTGAGGAGTCATTACACATTCGAGTGGTTTGAGGAGGTGGAAGATGGAAAGCAATAGGCCAAAGCAACAGGTCTAAAGCAGCTAAAGAGAAGAAAACATTGCTGGAACACCCTCGGCTTTCTGAGCGTGCTCCTACAGCTGGAAGCTATGTGTGGATGTACATGCATGTACTCGCTCATTGGGTCCATAGACTTCTCTCAAGTCCCATATCTGGTCCAGGTAGGACATACTGCGTGCGGTGAGGTGGTCAAGGGCTAAGCTACAAGAACGCACGGGACTGTGTATTCATGTCCATCTGCATGCATGTGGGTTATAACTTGTTTATTTCTTGCGGTAATCATCTGCATAGGCTCTGTGATCACCCTGCTCAGGGTAGTGGTCTCCATAGCGCCTCAGTATGTCCTGGAGGCTGGGCATACCTTGTGAGAGTGGCTGGTAGGGCATGTGAGGCTCCTCCTGGCCGCTCTGGTAGGGCTCAGCCTCATACTGGTCCTGTTCCTCCTGCTCCTGATGCTGCTTGCTCTCTGCTTCCCTCTGGTTGTGGTCCTCCTGGCCGTATTGCTCAGGGTGGGCCTCGGCATGGGTCTGCTCGGGCTCGTAGCGACGCAGGCGGCAGTCTGGGTCGTGTTCAGGGTCACAGTGTGGGTTTTCAGGCTCCATGACTCCATTTCGGGTGCCGTCAGCGTTCAGGTGGGGCTCGTAGGCTTCGGCAGGATAGGGAATGCGGCGGTGAACTCCAGAACGTGGCTTGTTGGGCTTCACGGGGTAGCACTCACGATCGTAGCCGATGAAGCAGTCGTAGCCCTCCTTTGTTTTACCTGGTGGGCCCAGAGGGTGGCTCTCCTCACGTGGAGGCTCTTCATAATTGGGATTGGAAAAAGGGTACTGCTGCCTCGGGGTAGGAGGACCACGGCGATGCATGGCGGCCGCAGCCTCACGAATAGCAGAGAAAGGATCATTGGGGTTAGACTCTGGAGCAGCCTCCATGCGGGGAGCATATGGGTCACTCCCGTGGGCTTGGGACATGAATCTGCGCAGGATGGCATATGGGTCATTAGCCGGAGGAGAGGCTGGGGCGCTAGCCTGGCGGTACATAGCATAGGGATCCATAACTCTGTTAGCATTAGCATTAGCATAAGCATCCCTAAACATTGCATAGGGGTCGTTGTTCTGCTCAGCAGGAGGAGGGGCAGCACGAATGGCAGCAGCCTCCTCTTTTTCCTCGTTTTTGTATGCCTCAGGGGGAGTAGCAAACTTGGTGGCGGTTAGAGGGTTGCAGCCTTCTTCAAAAAGAGGGTTGCAGGATCCAGGGCCAGCAGGGGAAGGAGGGTTAGGGGCACGGGGCGCCTGGAGGAACACATGACAGTAGAAACACCATAAGTTGTGATAATCAAGGCATAGGTACAAATGAAAACATAAAAAAACAGGATGCAGCAGTTGAAATCTGTTAAACTGAATTTGAAAAAATCTTTCACAGTAACAAAGCATACCACAAGGGAGGCAGCATAGGCACAACGGGGATCCCGTGGATCACAGTTGGGGTACTGCAGGTAGAGACCAGAAGGGGCTTTCTGCACCAGTTTGGGTTTGCAGGTGGGGTCATTCTTGGGGTCACAGCCGAGGTGAGCGTAGGAAGGCAGAGGTCCAGCAGAGGGTGAATGCCCGTAGGCCGCTCTCAGGTGGTACTGCAGACACTCTACATCGTCAGAGGGGCAGATACGCAGCAGCTCGGTCTTCTGCTCCTGAAGTATGAGAAACAAGGGCAGATATGTTACCTTGATGTTATTAAGAATCTATTGTACCTCCAGTTTGAGAACATTGTGTGTACATTTGTTTTATGTCTTACATCAGAATTTGAAGATGCTATATATGTTTTGGGTATAATTGGGAATATGAAAAATGAAGGGCTGAAAACTACACCTAACTGCACAGATTGGACTGAGGGACACTGCCATAGTGTACGATGACTACAAGGGGGCAAAAAAGTCAAAAAACTTCTAAAGATTCTACACATTGTGGCTTTTCTTCACACACTGCAACAGCATAAGGTTAGGTAAGTTGTTGAAATATAATAAAATACAAAATTCCTATTAATATTACTGTATACGTTTTAGGTATTTCTTTGCATGCAGTGTACCAAATATATTTAATGTTCAGTGAATTCCAGTATAACACAAACACTGTCTGAAAGCGTACCTTGGAAAGGTAAGGCACTGCAGATTGAGCGTAGTAGTAATAGCCTGACTGTGGGTCCTTGGCTGGAGCAGCAGAGCGAACGTAAAGAGGAGCTGGGGCCTTCATTGGTGCTGGGGCAGGGGTGGCAGCTGGGAGCACCAAGGGCAGGTAAGGGCTCTTTCCCTGGGCCAAAGCAGCATACAGGCAATAGGGGTCCTTCGTGGGGTCACAGGTTCTCACTGGTGCAGGTTTGGGGGGCTCTGGTTTAGGTTTGGGCCTGCTGGTGGCAGAAGCCACACAGTTGGGGTCATCAGAATCGGCACAGGACTTGTACACTTCCCCCAGGTGGCGCAAGTAGGCCTTGTAGGAGCGACGTCCCTCAGCACGGTTCTTGTTCTGAAGGTAGGCCAGGTAGATGCGGTCCATCTCCTGAACCTGAGGCAGGGGGGGAATATTGGTGAGCTGATTGTGTTACCACCAAGTAGCAAAGAGTTGCATGGTTACACATTCTGCAGACATGGAGCAATATTATGATCGATATATGTGTGTGTATATATGTATACAATTTCTACTGCGGATGGGGGTGCAAAAGCCTTCTCAGAGCAATAAGCTTAATGAGCAGGAGTGAGTGGTGGGCTGAGTGCTTCAGATGTTTTTTGCCCTTGGTTTCGCCACTCAGGCTACTTACAGGCTGCCTCTGCTTATTGGTTGAAATTCCATTATCGGAATCCACTGTCACTATAATGCTTTCATTAGACAAAGTAATAAATGTAGAAAGAAGAAAGATAATGGCTGATTTTGTGGGTGTGTTACATAGTCTACTTACTGCTTCCGCGTTGCCGCTGTCGGTGAAGTACTTGTACCATCCCCAGAAGTCAGAGTGCTGTTGGTACCAGCTGATGTTCCTGCGGTTGCGGATCAGCCTCCTGTGTAACTCTGCAGAAACCGCTCTCTCCTGGATACTTTCTCCCGCTGAGGCTGGAAAATTAAAAACACAAAGGCACTGCTGATCCCAAGGCTTCTGTACTTACTTGGACATAAAATTCAAGGACTTACTCATGACTTTTAAAGTTTATAATGAGATATCCAAGGCCTTAAACCTGTTATATTCAGGGGTTAGACATCATTAAGTCGTAATTGTTTTTACTTGTCAAGAAAATTGCAGCTATATCACATTACTTATCAATCACAGGGTTAGGTGTGGATGCAACATTGAAGCGAGGTGAGGTTGGTGATGAATTTGGGTGCTACTTTTTAATCAAACAGTACTTTCATGGGCTTTTTCAACAACTTTCATGGTCTTTCAACCCCGGCAAATGGCCACTGAGGTCTTTCTATCAACAAACGCTAATGTTTTAGTATGCTAAGATGAAAAATCACATATTTACCATCTCCTTTGGGCTTCTGCACAATCGGTCCAGCAGACAAGAACGCTGCACAAAACAGAGAAAAGCAAAAACAGATGTAAAATCCAGAAGTTACAGAAGTTAAGATTAAATTCTGGAAATTGCTTACTCTTTCTATTCAGACTTTTAAATGTGTCTGTAATACATCAGTGATAATATATGACATTAAACCTCAAACACATACAGGAAGATATTATTCATTAAATAGGACAGGGGTAATTGGCTCTGCCTCAAGCGCTGGCGACTGCAGCTCTTTGTAGATTTTATAGGTGAGCCTGTAACATCAAACCCCGTGCTGAGTTTTCAAAGAGCTGCATGTGCACTTGTGCGTGTGCGTGTGCGTGTGCGTGTGTGTGTGTGTGTGTGTGTGTGTGTGTGTGTCTTATGCGTACGTATGTGCACTGTTTGACCCCATGCAGCTGACGGAAACAGCAGATTCAGCTCTGCTTCAGGTTTCTTTCATCTCCACAGGGAAAAGGTGTTAATGCCTTACAGAAGGAGAGGAAGAGATGGAGAAGCAGGATGAATAAGAAAGGGAACAGACAGGTTTAAAAGAGAGATCCAGAGGGGATAATTCAGGGTTATGTGACGCGTATCGGAAGTGGAAAAACATCAATCTCCTGATTAAAAAAAACAGTTTTGATGAGCTTTGATGGAGTAATCAGGAAGACATGATGCGCACTGTAGTAAGGTCACAGATTAAGGGTAACAAGCAGAGGCATGAATTTGCAGAGAAAAACAGAATCAAAGACGAAGAAGTGAAGGTGACCCAAGGTGATGAAGCAGTGAGGAGGAGGAGGAGGAGGGCTAAATGATGCCGTCTCAGTGTATCCGCTGTATTGTTTTTTATGAGCCTGTAAAAAACACTGGCTGGCACATCTGGAAACAGCAGAGCTTTAAGTGAGCAGAGGAGGAGGTGATGCTGACAGGTACTAATTTCTTACAGGAGCAGAAATGATGAAAGAAACCCCTCCTCCTTCAGATCTCTCCCCCCCTTTTAACCATCACACGGGGCAATTTTAAAAACCATTTTTAAAAGAAAGATGAGACCTTGTCACACTGTAAATATCATGTCGAGAGAAAACTGAAACAGGTGGTGGAGGAGCAACGTGTCTTGATGGTGAAGCATTATAGATATTATGTGAACACCACAGGTTGCGTTAGAGAGCCACATTATGATATATGTGAAGCAGAGTGAGTTACAGGGACTCAGTGACATAGGTCTGTGTCCATGAACTGGTGAAGGACAGACACCCTTCGCAGTCCAACTAACCCTTAACCTTAACAGAGAGAACCTTGAAATACAGATTGTGAAGCTATAACTCAAGTAGAATGTATTTATTATGAGGAACAAAACTGCAAAACAAAAGATAAAATATGAATGTTAAGCAAATGATTTTGTGGTGAGACACAGGAGGGGGAAGGTGCACCCTAACCCTAACTGTACCCTAACTTTAGTATTTGTACTTTATACTTCTACTCCACTCTATGTCCAAGGAAAATATTGTACACTTTAACTTCACTACTTTTATTTGAGAGCCATAGTTATTTTGTAGATATATGAAACAAATGAAAGTACCCGACTGTAAATAAAGCGGAACGAATTTGCTTTATTATGAGCTACTGCAACATAAAGTGTAATAAAAAATCCAATTATATAACATCACACTGACACCTAAAAAACACCTAACCTAATGAGTACTTTTACATTTTTGATGCTTTAAGTACGTTTTCCTTCCAACACTTTTTTACTTTTACTGATGTAAGAGGCTTGCTGCTTTGAAAAGGAGACAGAAAACTAATTCTAACAAGAATACTCTGGTGTGAATAGCTCAATCAACATCATGATTATCGCTAACCAATTGTCATTTTGAATGATGTGAAATTACTGCATGTTTTTTTTCTTTTTCTCCAGTGCTCTGGGGTTGTAATTTTAGAACTTAATTGAGCTTTTCATTCAAAAAACCATTGCATAAGCTCATTCAACGCTTACAATCATTGTGGGATCGTGATGTAAAAGCTTCCAATTATGACCATTTAGAGCTGACATTTTTTAACTACGCGTCTCTGTATAATCAGGTCGGATGATACTCGACTAGTACAGTGCTGTAACTTAGAATATTACTCACCTACACTCTAAGAAATGATTTATGGGGTTAGTAAGTATAGCTCAAAATCAGAGCTTTTTCTGCATAAAAAAATAAGTTTGTTATGTGTATACATTATAATGAGTTTATAACTTAATTCAATAAGTTGGTCTAAATGAAAATAAATAAAATAGTCTTAACTCAATAATACATTAATTTTCAACATATATTTCTGCCTTAACTTAACATAGAGGTGTATTTAGTTAGCACAACTTAAAAATCTGTGTCCATGTTTGTTAAAAGCTGAGTACAAGGCTGACCTGCTCGGACATGTTGGGCACGAACAGACCATGCGGCATGCCTGTTTGAAGCATAAGGTTGGAAGACACGACTGAGCAGAGCAGAGTTGGAGAAACGCGGTTTGCAAACTTTACGGCGTACAATTTTGACTCGTTTTATTCACAACAGCTAATAACTGCATCAGCAGACAGTACGAGAAATCGTTTTACACAACACGAGATGCTTTTTCTCCATCAGCAGTGGTAATGTGTAAACTAGCAGTAATGTTAATAATTCGGTCTGACATTAGTGTTTGTTAAGTTTTGTTTTATAGTGGCAGGTTTTAATTGGCACTGGTTTTCAGTAGTTTAACTTTGTTTCTTTCAAATTTATTTAAAATTTGTAGTAGTGTTGAAGATTTGAGCAGCAATAACTTCATGGCTAGGCTGTTGTAGGTGACTGAGCCCACATTCAGTTTGTTAGTCAACCATTGGAGCAGCAAGTGCAGTCTAAAAACCCCGTCGACATAAATGTGAATGTCTTTAGCAGATAACTGTGGTGCTGTGTAATGTGTTCTACAATTAAACAAAAAATTGCGGGGGTGTGTTTACATAAAAGAACTGTGTGTCTATGTGGAATTTTCCCACTACAAACCCTGAAAACATTTATATTGATTCTGACCTACCAGGTTACGGGGATATTACGGGCGAACTGATAAAGATTGTCACAACACCATGTGGCATACCTGCAGCCCGTGCAAAGATCGTCCTGGAGGGAACAGAGGTCCTAACGGATGTGGATATTCCCAGAGCCTGTGCCTTGATAATGGGGCTGCTATACGCACTCAACCTCAGCTACCCAAAAGAACTGAAAAATACTTTTGAAGTGTTTCAAAAGACATTCCTCGAGTTGGATGATCTGAAAGCAAGTCCTAAGGTAATGTTGCCAAAAAATAAACTGCTGCGCTAAAAAAAAAAAATTGAGGAGTTAAAGAGACATTTAAGCTGTCCTCAAATTAAAGAGGAAATGTTGTGCTGTTATTTGCAATGTGTTGTTTACATACTGTATAGTAGGTGTACTGTACTGTTATTAACTATACCTAGTTCAAAGTAATGTACTTTTATACAAAAGAACTCAAATCAGTCTCAAGAGCATGACTGTAAAAATTTTCAATCTTTCTGAGACAGTTTTACAGGGCTATTTTATGTTGTAGGTTTCCTGATTTATTTTATGAAGGCTACATTTTTGTGTACTATTAAAATGTCAACATACACTCAGTCCTGTAACTGTAAGTGAGATGCTGACTGGTGTTTGAATAAACAGTTAGATCATAAAACTGGAATTTCAATGTGTGATTAAACTGAAATAGTAAACTGAGTATCTTTGGGGTTTGTTCAGTTAACTGAATAAATAATGAAAATGTTAAAGTTAGTTGTAGCACTAAATTAAACTACCAGTACATGCAAAAATTTGCTCTGTCTCTACAACAATAAAACTCACAGGGGCCCATTTTCTGCACTTCTAACTTACAGTGCAGTACAACTGGTACTTACGTAAAAGATCACAGCACTTCTTCACAGCTTAGACAGTTTTAGTGAACCATGAAAGCCGTGTATATACATAGCATATACCATAGAAACAGTCTAGATGGGGACTGTGTACTCACCAGGCAGCAGCATCACAGCCAGCAGAGTTGTGACGAACACGCCGGAGAAACTGGTTCTCCTCCTTCCAGCCATGACTTCACCTCCTCCTCTCCTGCAAATACCGAACACACTGACATTCAAAAAAGGATGCTTTACTCACTGAACTTCCCGCTCCATCAATTTCATCACTTTTTTGCCTTAATATAAAAACATTTTAAGCCTGACACCAGTTGTCACCAGTGTAATATCCAAAATGCCAGGGTATTATAGCTAGTTTCACTGATTCCCCAGACAACTGCATATTCGGAAACAGACCAAGAGTCCTAAAAGAAGTTTAGTTACCTGTGACAGTGATCAGTAGTGCAGAAAAAACATATAAATGTGGTGGAAGGTGTTCAGTTTTCACTCCAGTCACAACCTGAGACCTGGAGCGGCTTGGAAGGGAACTCTGATTTGGAGGCTTTAAACAAACATGTTGCCACAAGGCTCCCGGCTGGTCTGAAGCTACTGGTTTGTCATCATTAAAACAGAACCAGGTGTTCCTCAGCAGTCAACCTTGACTTCAACCTGAACTTGAATCCCTGGTAAGTACCTAAAACAAACATGAAGAAGTGCAGAATCACCACTCTCTTACCTGTGGTTACCTTATCGGCGTGGCTGTCTTGTCGGATCCAGATGTGGACTCAAATGAAGCCTCACAGGCCGGATGACTCAGTCCACCTGGGCTCAAACACTAAGTGTGTTGGTGTGTGTGTTTTTTTGCGGGTATGGCAGAGGTTCCTGGTGCGCCCTGTCCCTGCGGCACTTCTGACAGACTGCCCTGACGAAGGGATCGGGCACGGTTTTAAACCGAACACACACGCCAACAAGTATTCATTAACACTCACACAGAAAAACACACACACACACAGGGACCACCTGAGGGGGTCAAGGGCCACCTCAACAAGATGCCTGATTGGTCAGATCCTGCGGAAAGTGTCAGCCAATCGGAGGCACCGTAATTAAAGACAGGAAAAGAGAGAAGGTGGGAGGGCTTGAAGCAGAGATGGGGACGTGGAGAGATGTTAAGAGAAGTTGTCTCAAGTGGTGTTTTCTTTTTATTTATTTATTCACGACTGATTATTAATTAATCATTATTTCTATGAGTCACATTTAAGGTTAGAAATCAGACTCTGGATCTTTGTTTTTGGGGATTCAACACTCACTCCCAAACGAGAAAAACAAAAGACAGAAAGGGACAGGAGAGAAAACATCAGGAAATAATGAAGGGGAGCTGAGGTGCCACATAAGCAACTTCTCAGAGACCCTCACTGAGGGCCAAACCACAGCTTCTGTCTAAACCTGAACACACACACACACACACACACACACACACACACACATACAGGGACAGCTGGTCTACACATGAGGAATTTGATAATCTACAGTTTCCTCCTCAGTTTAACTGTGTTCAGACATGCCAGCCTTTAACACACACACACACACACGTACACATACAGTGAGTCTCTGAAACAGCCATATACCTGCGACGTGTGATGCAATATCAGCACATCTGACTGGATAAGCCTGTAATTCCGTTATGACACTCAGTAGTCTTATGAGGTTCTTCTTCTGGGGACGCTTTATTAGGTTATGGAGGAATTGAGATTTGCAATTTGCAAAAAAATATCAGCTTTTTCACACGAAAAGTGATTTAACCCCCCAAATCAATCATGTTTCATAACATAACATTATTAAAGTATAGTTTGGAGAGAGGATACATTTTTCTATTCGTTTTGGATGTACTGAAGTTTGGAAAATGGCCACCATGTGAACACTGGCTCTTAATGCGAGGGTTCCTCTGAGCACAGATTAAACTTCTCCATTTCCCTGTTTTATGTACACTGAGACACATTGTACATTACTGTACTCTGTGTATTACAGGGGCTGTTTTTTTTTTTTACAGTTCTGTCCCTTAATTGCAATAAGAGAAATCATAAAGCCTCTTAAAACATGGCTGTAAATCTGTTTTTTCCCCATCAAACATTAAATATATATATATGACTAAATGAGCAACAAATGTCAAAGGTTTGAGGAAAATATCAATATCAAAAGTTTAACACTGCAAATGGTGATGCCAGCATAAAGCAGCATTAGCTCAGTTTTTGTAACGGAGCCCGGCCCACTTCAAATCAGTGAAACCGGCACAGACAGAAATCTTTCATGTGAAATAACCAAAACTGTTCTTAATCTTCTTCTCAGATATTTCTGTGTTCCTGTAGATATCGGTTACTCGTAGCAACAACTTTAGTTACCATTTACTTTAATTATATTTTGTATTAATAATCTGAACTTGCAAATACATTCTGATATTATCAGTATTATTATAGATTAGACTGTGATCACCTGCCCTGTCCAGCCCACCCTCTGTCTCTGAAGTCAATCCTGCAATATGAATACAACTCCAAGCATTGTGTACGTTTCTTATTGCAAACTGAGTTTAAAAAATGTTATATTTTCTAAGTCTTATGTTTTAAGCCTACATGTGCAGCTGGTTTATGTGGACATGTATCATCTCAGGGAAAATTAAAAAAATATATATACATTAAATTGTATTCAAAGTTCATACAGTCAAAACAAATAGTTGGAAGACACTTCTCTGTTTATGATAGCTGACTGCGTCTCTATAATCACCGACAGCGATTTTACAGCCTGAGTCTGCACCTAGACGAGAACACTTTATCTCTTCTGTATTTTTAAGCATTTCCACATTTTTCTGCAGCCCCCTTTCCTGTCCCATCGTGCCCTAACTGAACATTTAGTGGTCATGTTAACACTGTATCTCGTATGTAATTAACGTTTGCCAACAGGTGTTTCGCAGAGCCCACAAACCTACAATCGAGCCGGGAGCAGATTCAAACACGACGACGCCAAAACCATACTCATAATTTTCTCTAAAGCCGGAATGTGAGGGATTCTCAGAATTCACAGACACCTGGTTCACCAAGACAGCTTTTCTTTTTCTTTTTTTGTAAAAACAAAAAGACTTTATTTCAGCATAGTGGTGAGTGACATATAGAAGGGGGGAGGGGCTGTACAAATAAGAGAACCTGTGGTCAGAATATGCCCATTTTCATTTTCCTCTGTACACGTTCACAGAAACACACTGGGGTTCAGATGCTGTCGTCACTGCAGGTCGTCGTCGTCGAACAGATCCTCAAAGTCTGCAGGTGGGAAGAGAGAATACAAGACGGAGAGAAAAGAGACAATTTTAGTCCAGATGTTTCCCAGAACTCCTACATTCTCAGCTAATTATGCTATACAAAGATAACGTTTATTCTTGTTTAAACCAGTTTAAACTTCTCAAATGCTGTTTGGTGGACTCTTTTACTTTGTTTGTACTTTGTTTGTTTGTGAAACACATGGGAACTGCATCTACATATGTTAGCATTTCTTATAAAGGCAAGTTAGCTGTTGTGGAAAATGACTAAACAAACCTTTTTATGAAGTTCTCATGGTGTAACTAAGCTATCCAATCCAATCCAATCCACTTATATATACACATATATATAGCACGATTTTAACAAACAAAGTTTCCAAAGTGCTGCACAAAAAGCTAGTAGGGAGGGTGGTCTGTTTCCTGGAAACAGAACTGTCAATAAATACAATTATTTAAGACCACAGAGACTGATCAGAGAGCGTTTGTTTATGCATCAGTACCTGAGGAAATTCTCCACATCACGAGACAAAAATAAAAAGATATTATTTATTATATGGCTGATTCCTCTTGTAGCACCACAGTTTCATCCTTTAATGTCCACGCAAAGAAACACTGCATCTACAAGCTCTGTTGATTAGCACTGAAACAATATGTGATTTAATAGATCACGTGATCAACGGCTAATCAATTATCTATCAACTAATTAATCCTTTTATGCATAACAATTCACTGTTTCCAGCTTCTCAAATAGCTAATTGTCTTTGTCCTCTGTGACAATAGGTTCTATTTCTGGGGACCCCTGGGAGCCTCTCAAGGATGCCTGGGGGGTCCTCAAAACCCCAATGCTCTATGAAGTAAAACCAAATATCTTTTTATATATATTTTTAATTTATTTTTTTTATTTATTTAATTATTTTTTAATTTAGGTTTTGGACACAACAATTTGAATATGCAGCTTGTGATGGACATTTTATGGATGAATCCAATATTTGAGAAAATGACGGACAGAAAATGATGGTACATTATAGCTGCATCCCTCAGGACTGGGGGTCTTTTCAAGCCCAGTGGCAACCGTCCCACTTTTCCTCACAGATGTCACAGCAGATGACAAAATTCAGTAGCCACAGGTGGCTTTATAAGAACACTGTGCAGGACTTTTCCTGCCCTGTGACCGTTTATCGACACACAGCACACGCTTCCAATGTGTAGGACCAGGCAGACGGTGCTGGCACACCAATGAGTACGTGGTACGTGGTCAGCTAAAGTAACTGGCTGCTCATCACCTTGAAGGCAACTCCTAGGTGTTGTGGCATTTTGCTCTATTTGGGTCTTATTAAAGAATATTGAGGGAACATAGTTGATCTGTGATTCATACGTGGAAGCAATAAGATGCAGTGGGCGGGACATCGAGCAAGCCCACAGGCGGTGACTACAGAGCTAACTCTTTGGCTCTTGGCTCAATACCGTGATTCGAACCCATACATTGTCCCCTATGAAAGAATAAAGCAACTGTGCTGGATGCTCCACTAAAAACCTCACATGGTAACGAGGTGGCTCACAGTTCCACGTAAAATGTTTGCGTCCTGGGTGTTTGTTTTACTCTAATCAAGAGGGGGTTTACTAAAAATGCTCGGATGAAAGATGGCTGCCAAATCCTCACATTTATATACTGTATGTGGAAGTGTGTTTGACATAACTTGCAATTTCTTTCATTTGCTTGTTATCTTTGGTCACCAATTGTGATGTGTCTCTGCCCAGCGTGATTTATTTGTAGCAACCGTGTGTGCTGGATCCAGACTCTCCTTCGAGCCACACACACATTATCCTGACTACCGACTAGGGGTGGGTAAAAATATCGATTCATCAATGCATTGCAATATATTTTTTCCCCAATTCAATATCGATTCATTAAATCTTCTGAATCGATTCAAGCCCCTGGCCAGTGGGGGCGCGGTGCGAAACACCTTTTGTGTGATTTGCATTGTACGGACGGAGGATGCACTCGACCACAACAACAACAACATGGCAACCGAAGCAGGTAGCAGCAGTGTTAAACCAGCGCCTTCAACTTTAAAAACAGACGTTTGGAGTCATTTGGATTGCAGTGTAAACCCGGCACACGGGAAATAGACCAAAGTAAGGTAGTGTGTAAGCTGTGCCAGACAGTACTAAAATACTGCAATAACACAACAAATTTGCGAAACCACTTAAGCCGACACCATGCAGATGCTCTGTAGCAACCCGCGGCTAAACCTGTAGATTCAAAACAGACGCAACTCGACAGATCCTTCCTTTGCAAACTGCCGCCAAACTCTGCCCACGCACAGAAGATAACGGCGTCTGTGGCCGTCTTCATATGTAAGGACCTACGACCGTACAGTGTCGTGGAAAACGGGGTTTTAAGAACATGGTATACACACTGGAACCACGATACGCCATACCAACACGCAAACACATGATGGAAGTCGCCGTCCCGAAGCTTTTAAAATTATCAACAGGTACTCTAATGAATTATTTGTGTAATTCTACTTATTACTGAATCGATATCGAAGCATTTCAATCAATATCGAATCGAATTCGAATCGAATTGTGACCTAAAGAATCAAAATTGAATCGTGAGGTTCTCAACAATACCCAGCCCTACTACAGACGTCTTTGTATCAAAAGCTGTGAGTTTGTGGCAGATGTAAACTGTACTGAGTTGAAAACAGTTTGCAGCTGTAGATGTAGGATATATAGAAGTCATTTATGTAGAAATAATTCATATAGATTTAAAAATATCTGCTAAAATGTCCCTAGGCTGAAACTGATTCAGCACACCAGGCTTGAAATACTCTTTCTTTCATGTCCCTTTGGTTTCCAGGCACAGGACATTCCTATGTTTCACCTAATAAGGGACGAGGCAAACAGCTTGCCCCTTGGCTACCCATAACCCCTTGCAACTTTTAACACAACCCACTCCACCACCAGGGAATGGGAGCCTTCTTTTGCATTGAACACTTCTTAGCTGACCTTTTAAACAGGGCTTAACATTACATTGTCGTGACCATGTCGGGTCGAGAGGGACACCTCAGCCTAAGCTTAGGGAGCACTATTAATCTCTTCAAAAAATCAAACAATGGTTTTAAATGATCGCCTTGGTTCTCCAATCAGACGAAACTCTTTCTCATGTCCGCACTCACCTCTGCCCTTTGGTTAAGAACAGTCTCATTAAGGCTGATTTCTCATTGTATGTAGCTTCTAGCCTACATATATGATCTACACTGTTATATATTTCATTATATTTATACTTGTGCGCTAATGTCTGCGTTTCTCTGCAAATGAAAAACTCCCTCATCTCTCTCCTATCTGTCTGGGCTTTTCCTCATTTAGTATTTTTTCCCCCCACGGGAATACGAGGGGACAGACAAGAGCATATTATGCAGCGAGGCGGCGTCCCGTGTGTGCCTCATTGTCTGTGTGTAAGAAAACACTTGTCTGAGAATGTGTGGGTACGTTTAAAGAGCGTTTCTCAAACAGCATTATTAACTCAACTGGGTTTTGCATCAGTCGCTTCCCAATCTCAGAGCACGTGCACGGACCTAGCGGAACAATCACAGCGCGCGTCTCAATCAGCCTTGAGTGTTAAACGTTTGGTGTGCACGTATAAAAAGATGAGGGTATAGAGTCCCATTATATTACATTACAAACCATTAAATTGCATCATTTTGGACACACACTTAATGTCGGTCTAATCATTTCTACTAGCTGTGTCTATTTCCAACAGAAACGTGGTATTGCAATACTCCTCCTCGTTCATTATTAGTATGAAGGGTCCTTATGGGAGTGAAATCCCCGTTAGGGCCACGACCCGGGACGTGCCGTACATGAGAATTCACCGAACTGCAGGTCTACGTGTTAACGACCCAAGTGATCTAAAGGAGTGCGTAGGTGTGTGTGTGTGTGTGTGTGTGTGTGTGTGTGTGTGTGTGTTTTTAAAGCAGCTGACTGGCGAGGTGTCCCGCTGAGTTTCAGTCTAACAACAGCTATAAACTCACTTTACCATCCTCCTCTTTTCCTCTCTTTTTTTTCTTTCTTTTTAACAATCAGCTCTTTTCTTTCTAGGTCATGCGCTGCTGAGCCAAAATTGTTTTGCCTGCAGCCGACGCTGCAAGACGGAAAACAGATTAGCTTAGTGTTTTTAGAGTGTCCTCTGCGTGCCTGCTCACACATAAGCCGGTGTTTACAGGGGAACAACCGGATTTTTGAGGGTTAATTTGAGAACACAATGTGGTTACGACAAAAGCTGGATACTGTGCTTAAACTAAAACTTCTATGCAGTTTGTCAATAATCTCTTTAACCTTTCATATTACTTAATAAATATTGGAATATGTTAAGTTCATTTGAGTTAATATGTTCACCAAGAAACGTTTCTAGTGATACGATGCTCTCACTTTAAAGACTTTTTAATAGAGCTTTTTTTTTACTTTACTGTGTACATGTGTTGAACAGGTCAGTCATGTCACAGTTTTATTCAGTTTGACTTTAAAAGACCGATTTACGTGGCCAAATGATCAGGTTTCTCTACAAGTGTTTCACCAGGTTTCTGTTAATCCCATGATCATTAAAGGCATTTATATGGAACAGGGGATGTTCAGATAACTTAAGTGCATGTAAACGCAGCCATTCATGTCTAAAATCCTGAGCGTCTCCTGACAAATGTGCGTAATAAAGCAAGAGGAAAGATGGAAACGTGCTTTAGTTACCCACATTTGTAACGAAACACTAGAGGGCTTTTATTTCATCATACTTCTCTATTAGATGTGACCCTTAAAAGGGCCAAATTAATATTTTTTGCTACTTACTGCGATGCATCGTGTCATTTGGCTTTGATCATTTTAGTTGCAGTCGTGATACAGATCAAGGAAATTTAAGCTTATTGCCGAAACTTGTTATTATACTGAATAAAAATAAGATTTCTGTTTAAATAAAAGAACATTTCTGCTCAACTCTGCAAGCTCCCTCCGCACTCGCCCACACCGTCCTGCTGCCATATTGTGCTACCACGTTGACCCAAGTGGTACACATGTGATCATTTAGAACAATGACTTACCGTTAAAGAAATCAGAGTGCACTGCTTTTTCATTGGCTGCCAGGTCCATTAGCAGGCCGCTGCTGCCTCCTGCCTGTTAACACACAGCAGTACAACCAGTTTTATAGCATCAGCAGGTCACTCACTCATACAGCATTACATTAAATGTAAACAGGAGTAGAGAGGTTACTAGGGAACAATATGAAAACATATTTCTCCTTCAATGTAATAACAGGAGAGGAGAGTGTAGAAGGAAACATGTTAAATGCAATCAATCATACAGAGTGTCTTCTTTTATTTATCTCTCTGCTACTTTCAAGAGTAGTTGTATTCTAGGTCTGTCTGACTGAGATTGCCTGGTATGATCAGGGGTTGTGTGTTTGGTTAACGTGTGTATAATGTGCTCTAACGAGATACTTACTAGAGATACTAGAGATATTGCTGTTATGTAATATTTCTAAAATGTAGAAGTGGTGGAAGGCCAGTACATTTACTTAAGTAGTGTTTTGATACCACACACTAGTTCCCTTCAGATTATTAAAATATGACACATTAATATAGACTAAAATACAAGCAGTATATTAAGAAATTAAAACTTTTCTGACTTTTACTCGAGTTAATTTTACTTTTAACAGCAGTAAGTAAAAATAATAATAAATCTGAAAGGTAGTAGGGTTTGATTTATTTATTATTCATTGTAGACAAAGCTTAAAATACATAAGCTATTATAAATGCTTATTAATTATTAAAGCTTTACAATAAATCAGTGTATGAGTAGTTCTAGTATATTATTATATACATTATAACATTAAAGTTTCCCAGGTTGAGTTTGGGGTTAAAAATAGGAAACAAACACCGAAGAGGAAACAACAGCTGGTGTTTATAACGCTAGTAAAAATAAACACGAAATGCACAATGTTATTATTCTTAAAATGATATTTAAAACCCACGTAGTCGGTTGTATCTGACAGAATTATTTTGAGACTATCATAATTAACGTTACTGAGCTAGTTAGCATTAGCCACTGTTTGTGTGTGTGTATAAGTCCACCGACCTCGTCCAGGTCCACATACGGTCCGGCTCCTTCCGGAAACATCTCGTCCACAGCGGGCTTCATTATTTCTATTTTTATTTAATGTTTTAGTTCAGGAGTACTTTTAAAAGATGTTGTTTACTGCTAGCAAAGGCTAGCTGCTCAAACAAAACAAACGTGTGCAACACTAAACTGGGCTCGGCTGTCTCTACGAGCTTGTGTCAGTCGGTCCGCCCTCTACTTCCGGTAACAAAAAAAGAGTTTTCCCTTTAGAAATAAAGGAAATAGATTTTAATATTAATCACAGGAATATTTCATCGTATCAGTGGTGAAAGTATGAAGTAGATATTTTACTCAACGTAACGTAACGTAACGTAAAAGTACTGCATGTAATCCTATTTAACAGCACATCAAAATATACTTTACATATTAAAAGTTCTAATTATGCAATAAAATAACCACTATGACTTATTTATCATTATTATATGTGACATTAAATCAATCAATATTAAGATTTAATTAATATTAAATCTCTTCAGTTCTGTCACAGGGAATTCTTTCTAGAATTAATAAAAATGGCAACATGTTTTATTTATTTAATTGAGGGGTAATAATGTGATATCACCAAAGTGTATGAAGTGTATTAACAGGTTTATAATATAATTAATTGTACAAATTAATAAAATATAAATAAAATATATCCATGTAAGTTTGATTAAGGCAGATATAGTGACAGTGAAATTAGATACTTTTTCAGAAGTTGGTGAAAAATGTATGGGAATAATGTTTGACTGAGTAAAGAAGACACTAGTATTCACTTTCTAATTACAAGGATTCAGTGAAAGCGGTAAACAGCCTTTGAAAACATATGAGATAAAAGATTTAGGACAATTTAAGGAAAAAGAGACACATTTTAAATCATCATAGACAAAATGACATATTTGGACGTTTTTGTATTTATTTGTGGCACATGAAGATAATATACAATCCTACAACAGGGCTACATACTCTACATTTGTATTCTATTTGTATACACTTCAAACAGTGATATATGTTGTATGCTACACTATGCCTTTTCTTCTCCACATTTATTTTTATAAATGTATTTCCTCAAAATCTTTCTCCTTTCTGTCAAAGTAAGAAATGCATTTCTATTTTATTTACTCTCAGCGGCTCCCTCCCTGCCCTCTTCCGGCCCTCCAGGCTCCTTTCATCCCCTCTTTCAGTGTTCATGTCCCTCGTTGGTCTCATATCCCAGAGTGTCTCCGAGGTGCTGGTGAGCGAAGAAGGCCCGGGCCATCTCGTTGATGTGGTTGTAGGCGCCGATGGATCTGAAGTATTCAACGTAGTTCCAGAAGTCAGAGGTGGAGTAGGGCCAGTAGGGAACAGCTGGTGGTTGATCGTATGGCACTAAAAGGAGATCAGACACATCAGGAACTCTCAGAGAATGGGCGTGAACTTATATATGTGAAAAGAGAGGAAGAGTACTTTTTTCCCACTCAAGAGAAAGTGAGCCACACCTCCAGCTCAAAATGCAACAAGCATTCTGGTCTACTGAGGCTTCTGTTGTTGAAGTATCTCAATGAGGAATTTCACAATAATGTTCAAAGTTCAAAAAATGTTTAAAAAGCGGGTGGCAGTTTTCTTAAGAAGCCTTTGGGTTGAATGTGAGTCTTTACTTCTGCTTGAAATCATTGTGCCAATGTCTGACACAACTCAATGTCTGGTGGAATGTAACTACATACATTTACTCACGTACAAATTCAAGGCACTTGTATGTACTTTTATGCCATTTATACATCTCAGAGCCAAATATTGCACTATTTTACTACACTATTTGTCTGATAGCTTTAGTTACTAGTTACCTTTCAGTTTACATTTTTTAATTTCCTTCCTGTCCAGTGAAAACCACGTATGTCAGAATTGGTCATCTCGATTTTGAATGTGTCTGATATACTGAATAATTAAGTATTCCTTTATGGGTTGAGAATATTATCCTATTTCTTAAGATGAATAAACTATTTAAAAATCCTCTTGGATTCGCTGGAATATATTGTCACAAAGCTGATTGGTTCAAAACATATGAAGATCTTATAGAACAGAAGTTAGTAAAAGATCTGAATCTTTCTTCCACCACTGCAGAAGAAGTACAAGAAATGGAAAACTATAATATCTGAGGCATTTTGTGTTTGTTGCAAAATATGAAGGTGTCTAAAAGGAGAAGTGTTATTTATATACAGTACCTCCTTCTGGGATGACTCTTGCCTCTGTGAGGAGGAGAGAGAGAGAGAAATTAACATTCCCAAGCATTCCAAGGCTTCCAAAGCACAAAGACAGGATTCAAGTGCGGAAAACTGAACTTTTTCCCAGAGGACTGCAGGATACCTGCTCCCTCCTCAAATATTATTGCTGACCATTTCACACACACACACACTCTCACAGTCTGAAGCCTAAAGAATTCCTCATCAGACAGAGTCGTCTTTGTGCACACGCCGTCACCACACACAGATGCTCTCCTGTGGATGCAGCACCGTCACATCTGGGACAATCATATATGATTCATACACAGCTTTTTTGCAGCATATATATCAAATTGGGTTTTAGTGCTTCACCACTGCATGTTTATATTGTACAAACAAACAAACTAAACTTGAGTTACAACACACCAACTGTTGCCTGGTCAAGACAATATTAAATCTGAAGCATCATTTACAGATTAAAGAAAAATTAAACTCACCACTGAGATGACAGGCAAAAAGGCAGAGGAGAACACTGAGCCAGACCAACAGCTTCATCTTGGCCTCCTAAATTAACAAAAATGTTGATGAGGTTCAGTGGTCACTTTATCAGTACATGTGATGATCCCCAAAGCCCCCCAAAAGTTGTTTTCTTTTAAACCAGAATTTTGTGAAAGTAAAATTTAGGTAAATTAAGTTTTGGTGAAATGCTTACCTGTAAATAGTCTGTGAAGCTGTGCAGAGAGATGCTGCTGTTGCTGGTTCACTGTGGTCTGTGGTGTGAGGGGCTCGGTGGAGGAATAGCCAGTGGACCTCCACCATACACACACACATGCTAACACACACACATATGCAAACACAGTCAAGCCGTGCCCAGTTTATACTCTATTTACACAGTGAAGTTCTTCCTTGATATTTCCTGTACAAAATCTGTCCATGCATATTTATTTCCCCCTGTATGTTCACAAATTGCCCTCTCACTAATGATGCTAAATGGATTAGCACCCAAGTGAGAGTTGATGTGTCAGTATCATATTACAAGACTTGACTTCAGAGAAAAAGTTCAAACAAAGCAGTTTTAGCTCTTTCTCTTTTTTCCAGCTCAGAAACAAACAGAGCAGAGAGTTACGCAGTACAATGTGACTTTTCTACTCTTCGTCAATAAGCAGTCTTCAACCAACTGAAGTTCTCCCACACTACACTGCTCCTCCACACCCTGCACTGGCTACTGGTGGCTGATCGAGTCCGTTTCAAGTCACTGGTACTTGCCTATTGTGCTGTAAATAGGCTCACAGGCTCACCCTACATCCAGGACAAGGTCAAACCAAACCGAGCCCGTCCACTACACTGACAATCAGATTGCTACTCCCTCACTACGAGGGGGTCCAGCTACTGATCAATCGATGTGTTGTATCCATATGGTTGGATTAACTTATTGTAAGTCCCAAGCTCAGATGGTCACAGAGAACATTAAAAGCATTCAGTCTGTAATGAAAATTATTCCTTTTATATCAACTCTCCGGCTTTATTAGTACTACAGCTTCAATTTTTATTTTCTCCTAGCTATTTGGGATTAGTAGGACCTGATAAACATAAAAAAACAGGCAATGTCTTTGAACAATTAGTCGTTTTCACAAAGAATTATGACTTTTTTACTGTAAAACTTTGTCCCCATATGAGGACGCGGGGTCGCAGGAGGACAAATCTTTAGTGGTTTAGCTAGTCTCTAACTGTCTGTATGCTGTTTGCTGAGGGTTTTTACAGCTTTCCCCCGACCCTTCCCAACAGATAAACAATGAGCTGAAACGCACTATAAAGCTCCGTAAAGTCAAAAGGTGAACAGCAAGCATTCTGGGTTACTCAGGATTCTGTGGCATCTAGTGGTGTAGTTGCAGATTGTAACTCCCTCACTTCGCCCTCCTCTGCACCTTTAATTTAATTTGTACGGTATTTATGCATTTTATGCAATTTTCCTCAACATAGATAATAAAAGTTCCTAAATATGTAACCGTAGACAAGTAAAAATGTCACTTTTTAACCTAATTTATCCCAGTTTTACCCTAAATCTCTCGTTCCTCTGTGGGACATGAGGCCACAGTGATCTCATCCCATTATCACAGCTTTATTAACCCCCTCTGTGTGTTTTTTTTTTGTGTAGTTGTGAAGCCACAGGAGGACGGAGGTGTGACAGATCAGCTGTATGCAGAGATCAAGCCGGCTGTGGACCGAGCATACTTTTGGCCATGTATGTTAATTAGAGGAGACACTTTATCTTTAATGATCTCTTCACAGGAGAAAGATAACTGGAGTGGGATCACTCGTACGGTGGACCGACTCTTTTACTTCCTGGTTACCCCGGTGATGACCCTCGGCACCATCATCGTCTTCCTGATGGGAATCTGTAACCACCCTCCACATCTGCCCTTCAAAGGAGACCCCCACGACTACAGAGAGGAAAACCCGCGCCTGCTGTGACACACAGATTAATTTCCAGTGTTCAAATCCAAAAGTTTGTTGCTTCTTAATTGTTTTTGTTTGACAACTCTTCCAGGTACATAGCTGTGTGTGTTTTCTTAAATTTGAAGTAAAAAACAAAGTCAGTTAATTACAGTTTTAATTGTATTTGTGTGGTTTGAATAAATGTTTACACTCAGCAGACATCTTTGATTGTTTTCTTTTTTTTCTTGTCTTTTTCACTACTGAAAGGACTACTAGAAAAAAGATTTAAAAAAGGTAATATATAGATATATAATGTTGCACTAATTACAGCAATTCTCAACTAGCTTCAATTAACAGATTTTATCTTCTTGTTTCTGTGTTTTATAAATCAATTATCTGTTAAACTATGAAAAACTTCTGGAATTGGTGGTAATAACCAGAACTTCATAGAGGTAACTTTAGGCATTCACATTACAAATGTGGAAATTAACTGCAATTCTCCATCGTTCCACAGGGTGGAGCTGCAACAGAAAGCAACACTGAAATATCCAATTCAATGTGTTCATCTACAGTTCTGTTGTCATAAACAGAATGAATGTGTAGAGGCAGTTTGGGTTCAGAATATGTGAATGAATGAAAGAATAAAATCCAGGAGGAGGAGGTGGTTGAGTGTGGAGCAGAAGGAGTGGAGGAGTCTCAGTGTGTCTGCAGAGACTGTGTAGAAGGACAGAGCAGCAGCAGAGCAGTCCAGATACACTGATGATACTCTGTCACATCCAGAGGAACACACAGGGATGATGGTGGACTTGAGTCATCTCCACTGGTTGTGATTCCTCTGTCAGTCACTGCTGGATGAAGCTCTCCTCTCCACTCTACCTCCCAGTAACATGGCCCAGTCAGAGCTGATGCTGCTGCTTCAACCTCTCTGGATCATCAGTACACAGCTGATCCTCCAACACAACGACCTTCCTCACCACTCACATGCTGATTGGCGTCCATCTGATGAGAAAAGAAGACAGACAACAGAAGTCATAAATCAGTGTTTACAGAGACTCCCTCCATCAGCACATCCAGTATAAAGACCAACAGGGACTTCAGTCCAGTTTAGACCAGAAGGTGAGCGGCTGTGTAGCGTAGCCTGCTTCCTTTCAGCTCTCATGTTAACATATTGGAGGGAACACACTGAGCTGAAGCTCACAGACCTGCAGACATCAAGTCTGTTGACTCTGCAGATTTCACTGACGTACACAGTGGAAATAAAATGCTTCCTGAACGCATCATTACTGCAGAAACAGAGAGACATTCACTGCCCACTGGAATGATGGATTTACTGCTGTTAGGATTCAAAGCTGATAAAAACCACAGTCTCAGTCACATTTGAATGTTTCATCTGCTTTTGAAATACTACAGGACAGATCTGTAAATATGGAGTCTGTTTAAAATAATATAAAACATATTTTGACTAAACAAAAGATAAATGGACAGATATATATATCTGATGTTAAAGGTCCTACATGACTGAACAATAGCTGTGAATACTGGACTTCAGCAGAGGTTCTGGTCTGTACAAAGACCACATGGTCACTAAATATAATGATGGTTCTTTGAAATAAGATCCAGTGGTTTGCAGGCTTCAGTCAGACTGATCTTAGAGCTGTGACAAAGATGAACTGATCAGTTGTTTAGTGTTGAAATGAGAGAACAAACACTTTGAGACCAGATTTGATGTTACAACAGTTTGATGAATGAGGACCACTGTCTCTGTACATCTTGTAATGCTGTCAGCTGGAATCCAGCTTTATTTCCTGTAGACATGAACACAAACACAGTCGTCTTCACATCAACTCAAACACATGATCACATCAAGCTTCTGGCTCATCTGATTGGCTGACTGTTCTCTCTGTCTGTCTGTCTGTCTGTCTGTCCAACCATGAAGTCTGTCACCATCCTCCTCTCACAGCTTCACAGAAGAAAGCAGCAAGTACTGGATCTTTGCTTTGATACTAACTGTGTTTAGTGCAATACTGCTGAAACCAGCATGGACTGACTCCAACCCTCTACTGACCTCAGAGTCCCCAGTCTACAGTGTGGACTCTCTAGAAAATCAGACAGCAGCTTCACTCCTGAATCCTGCAGATTGTTGTCTCTCAGGTCCAGCTCTCTCAGATGGGAGGGGTTGGACTTCAGAGCTGAGACCAGATAATCACAGCTGATCTCTGACAAACTGCAGTTCCTCAATCTGAATAAAGATGTTATTGTACAATAAGTATGTGATTTTTATTATCAGTTATTTAAAATACATAAACAAATCATGATGTGGAATATAAGATGAACATCAAGAGTTTAAGAGGTTCAGAATGAATTATCCAGTATATATATTTCTTGTTATATTCAGGTTTTAAAACATTGCTCTGCCACAGTCAATGGACTAAACCACTGAAGAAGAAAACAGACTTTAGCATTGAGATACACAGTGTGGATCAGTATTATATCAGCCTTATGTCTGCACTAAACTGTCACCACAACTTTCACATCATATTGCTCTCAGCACAGAAGGAAAAAATGGTGTCTGACCTCAGAGTCTCCAGTCTACAGTGTGGACTCTCCAGAAAACCACACAGCAGCTTCACTCCTGAATCCTGCAGCTTGTTGTCACTCAGCTCCAGCTCTCTTAGGTGGGAGGGGTTGGACTTCAGAGCTGATACCAGATAATCACAGCTGATCTCCGACAAACTGCAGCCCCTTAATCCGAAATAAATGATGTAAGTTTAGAAGACAATGTTGCTGCTTGAAATCCTTCAGTGTTTAAGGATATTGAGATCTATATGGCAGGAAAAATACCTTGAGTACGATATAAAACATTACCGCTACTGAAAGAAAGAGGAGGCTGGGGTTTACCATCACAGAAAAATTATTATATCTCAGCACAGATGACAGCATCAGCTCTCTGGGTTCGGAGAGCAGTGATAAAAGAACATACATCGAAAGAAGATATTAAATCCTGAGTTGTTGTGCATATGATTCAGATCTCACACTAAATAAACTCAATGATAGATTCAAAGTTTGGATAAAGAAAGGTATAATATATCTATGCAGCATTATACAGAAAGATGAAATTATGTGTTTTCATATATTAAGAGATACTTTTTCTTTGGAAACACAGGATTTCTAAAGATATCTCCAATTAAGAAATTACTATAATCAGAAAGTAAAATACCAGAGAGGCCAATAAACCCTTTATGCAACTTATCATGAATGCATATAAGTGATATATTAAAAGAGGGGTCATCTCTCAACTGTATAAGAGCCCTTCACAATCTAAAAGTTCATTTGACAAAATATATAAAGGATAGATGGGAGAAGGAAGGAGACCTGACAATAAAAATA